ATTTTAAAAATCACCTAAATAGTTTTTCCGCGAAACGCGCGGACTTTCTCTAGTTATACATGTTTTGACGATATTTACCAAACAAATTGTGGAATTGGGTTTTTTTTTTGTTGGTCAACGGGTTGAAACAATTAAAATAGTTTAGGAGAAGTTCTTCGTTTACCTATAACCTATGTATGTATACAATGTAAAATGTTATATACTAGTAGTTTGTTTGTCCACAAATGTTTCAAGTTCAATGTTAATTAAGCACTACTACATTAGTGTTCAAAAACACATACTGTGTTAAATAGGCCCTAGTGTTAATCAGGAAACGTACGTGAACAACACAAATTAAGGAAACTTCAAAGAAAAAAGGATCATAATCAGCTTAAACTTTGTTCTATGTACCTATCAATAGAAAAAGTCTAATCCACAGTAAACAAGGAGTACTAAAATTCTCTAAAATATCAAATCATGTTTTATCTATTCTAAAATGTCAAACATTCGTTTGATTAGTGGTTTAACAATAATAAATGTTTATTTATTACCATATATAACCGTGGTCACAAGCGTTTTGAGAGCGAGTGGGGAAGTGTAAGAAGGTTGAGTTTGGGGTTGGTGAGGGAGACACGTCAGTTTTATTGGCAATCACATGAAATTAGAGAGGTTTGGTACGATCCGACCAGACATATTGATGCATACCATAGAAGATGATTTAAACTCACTCATTACAAACCTTTGTTTATTTTCGCCAATAGATTTTTTGTTTACAAACAAAATTAACTGACTTTTCATGTAATTTAAGTTTAAGAAACATTTTTCTCATAGTCGAAAGTATGAGATAATAATTTCTTTTTTTGGACAAAGTATGAGATAATAATCTATTCAAAAATCAATCAGTTGTTAAGAAAAAAAGTAGATATTTTTTTTGTTTCATAATAACAAAAAAAAGGTGTGGGAGAGTCGGTGTTGTATGTTGGGTTTAGTGGGACCAGATCGGTAGGTGGGTGTGTTTGGTGAGATGTAAAA